GAGAATTTTTCTTAGGTGGGACTTAAACATAGATATAATATATAAATAGGATTAACTTATTTTCTTCCTAAAATAGAACTTATTCACTTATAATTAGGGAAGTTTTATGATTTTAATATAATCAAACGGTCCATATTTTGATAATAAATCATAATTATTCCTATTTAGAACAATTTCCTTAATAAATCATAACTATTCCTATTTAGAGCAATTTCCTTTTTAGATCAAACTCAAAAAATTATCATTGTTTAAGTTGTGGAAACCTACAAATCCTACAATTGTTTATTTATGGTGTACGTTCTTGGTTGAGGGTTTAGGAGGTATATTTTTAATTGAACTAAATACATTAGACCAATTCGTATGAGGTTATATCAGACTTAAACATATAAGATCAATTTATATCAGATTAGACTAAACTTAAACAAACTAGACCAATTTAGACCATTTCAGACTAGATCAGACTTCAACTGTTATAAAATACATACATAAAAGACATCTATACAAGTTCAGACCAGTCAAACCAAATCGTGCTTACGTATCTTCAACATAATCGACCATTATGTATTATTACTATTATTACGGAGTATTTAATAAAAAACGTAACGAATAGAATATATGTATCATACTATCATTTACAAAAATTTAATCGTTTTTTGTTTTCTCTCTTAATTCGCCAGCAAAACTTAGACACTAGTACAATATCTTTTTGTTATTTAACTAATTATTATATTTTCACGTGAAATGCATGCAGGTCAATTCCAACAAACGGCGCTCGAGATTTAAAGTCATCTACTTCATTAAGACTTGACATTACAGATACACATGTAAATTAAATTCTGTTATAAATGAGTACAAATAAATATTTCCTCTCTTCCGAAAAGGTTCACCAAATTGACTTTTCGTGGTCAATGGCAATCAACTTTGACCAATTATATTTTTTAATACGTAATTATTTTAAATATGAAAATTATATAAAAATGTTCCTTATTCAAAATATTTTCATTAAAGTATAAAATTTATCAATTATATATAAATATATAATAGTTAAAATCATTGTCCAAAGTTTGTCATCATTGACCAAGAAAAGTCAATACGGCAAACCTTTTCGGGACGGAGGTAGTGCATATTTTGAAATAATATACTACGTACAATGTTTAAACTTTCTTGTTTGATAAGAACAATTATCTAATAAAATTTGGTTTGCCTTATTTATTTTATTATTTATAGGTGGTGATGGACAATGGTTTTATCAAAGTGACACTATCGAATCCAACGGGGGCAATTGCAGAGATTCAGTATCAAGGAATTGATAATGTACTCGAATATAGTTTCAAAGAAACAAATAGAGGGTATAGTTACTTGTTAATAGTATTATGTACTGCTATCATTTATTTATAATAGTAATGTACTAATGTAGCTACTCCACCATAGTATATATAAGGATCAACAAACCCTTCAAATGCACTTATTATTTTCTATGCAGATATTGGGATATTGTTTGGACCAGACCAGGGATAGATGACAATGGAAACTTCGATACGTAAGTCTTTTAATTTCATCATTTTGACGATTTTGTTATGTTACGAACGAGGGGCGGAGGTCGGGGTTCATGTTAGGCCCCGACCCACCATGCTCTTTGTACCGGTTCAATCAAGCTCTGTGTTTTGACTACACCCTTGCTTCAAAATGTCTTCTAAAACAATCTACTAATCAATTGTTATTATTATTGTTACCATGAAGGCTTCAAGGAACACACTTTAGAGTAATCACATCTGATGAAAACCAAATTGAAGTCTCCTTCACAAAAGATTATGATCAAGAAGATCCCTCTTCTGTTCCTTTGAATATAGATAAAAGGTAAATACAAGTTACAAATTTCATGTCATGAATGTTCAAATAAAATAAATACGGCATTTATGTGATGCATTTGGTGATATAAAACGGGAAAAGAATACACGATTTTATGTATTGTAGGTACGTAATGTTACCCGGGCGATCTGGTTTCTACACATATGCAATCTATGAGCATATTGAAGGGTGGCCTGATGTTGATATAGGCCAAACTCGACTAGCTATCAAGCTTCAAAGAGCACTGTAAGCTACACTCTTAGAAGCAAATTTTATTTTTAGGGTACATAACAATGTTATTAATTACTACATATTATTTACGTCATTCTAAATGTTTTTTCTTAATATAGGTTCAACTATATGGCCATATCAGATGAGATACAAAGACAAATGCCTAGTGATAATGATCGATCTACTGGAATGACTCTTGATTATAAAGAAGCAGTCTTACTAACCAACCCATCCAATCCTAATATGAGGGGAGAGGTAGGTTTTTAATTTGAAACTCAATTATATATGATATGATTTCCTTTATGATATTTATGCACTTAGTTTAATCATATTACAATAAGTATTTCATATTGATCTAGGTGGACGATAAGTACCAGTACTCACTAGAAAACAAAGATATTAAAGTACATGGATGGATTTGTCCGAGTCCACATGTTGGATTTTGGATCATCACCGGGGCCAACGAGTTTCGTGGTGGAGGGCCAATTAGACAAGATCTTACATCTCATGTAGGTCCGACTGCATTATCGGTAAGTCTCCCCCCACATTAATATTACTTTTAACCACATATTTATTACGTAGTACTATAAATGGAAATGAAAAAGGTTTTGGAATGACTAAATTAGAAAAGTTGGTACAAAAGTAGTTCCTGAGCACAAAATTTTGAATTGCAACCTTTGATTAGTTATATATGTTGCCTTATCTTTATTTCTTGATCAGATGTTTTTCAGTGGTCATTATGCTGGTTACAATTATGATGTTAGCTTGAGAAATGGTGAAGCTTGGAAGAAAGTATTTGGCCCAGTTTTTATTTATCTCAACTCTGATCAAGGGGATGATCCGAAACCTCTATGGAAAAATGCTAAAGAAGAGGTAACTTAATTAACATAAACTTTTTTTTTGTTATTTACTTCAAGTTGTTTATGGAATAACCATTATAATTATTGGGTAACGATAAGGAAATTAATAATGCAATATTTTGTCTTGATTTATCACTAGATGAATCGATATTGAGGTCGGCTAACATGAATCGATATTGAGGTCGATTCATGTTAGCCGACCTCAATATCTTTTGGGACTAAGGCTTAGATGTTGTTGTTGTTGTTATCACTAGATGGTTGCGGAAACTAAAAGTTGGCCTTACACTTTCCCAAAATCAGAGGACTATCCAAGTGCTAGTCAACGAGGCACGGTTACGGGTCGTTTACTAATTCGTGATAGGTGATTTATTATTATTTCTTTAATTATTTATGGTCATTTATTGAATTTTTTTCATTAAAAAAATGAGTGAACTAATTATGAATGCTCAATTTAGATATCTGAGTGAAGACCTTATCCCAGCAAAATCCGCATACATCGGTTTGGCTCCACCAGGGAGTGATGGGCATTGGCAAGAAGATGCTAAGGTTTGAGGAAATCTTTGTATCCAATTTTTCTTTTTGACTAGATTGATTTAAATCATCATACTTTAACACTAATTTTTTGTCTTGCAATTGTTGTTATTGTGTAGGGTTATCAGTTCTGGACTCAAACAGATGACAATGGGTATTTCAACATTACTGCAGTTAGACCTGGAAACTATAACTTGTATGGTTGGGCCCCTGGCATTTTGGGAGATTACAAAAACAAAGATGATGTCACAATCCGACCAGGAGAAGAAACAAGTCTCGGTGAGATTGAGTTTGGTCCTCCCAGAAACGGTCCAACAATGTGGGAAATCGGTGTCCCGGATAGAAAGGCGGCAGAATTTTTTGTGCCTGATCCTGCACCCGAGCTCATGAACTACGCTTTGATCAACCATACTGAAAAGTAAGATCCTCTAGTTATTCTTTTACAAATTAAATTGTGTGAAACATATTCTGAAACTGTTGTGTATAAAACTTACAGATTTAGGCAATATGGACTATGGGATCGTTACACCGATCTGTACCCTTCCCAGGATTTGGTTTTTCGAGTCGGAGAAAGTGATTATCGCAAAGATTGGTTTTTTGCTCATGTCAATAGGTACTTGTTTGGTCTTTTTTTGTAAACACTTTTCTGGGTACTTGAAACTATTTTTTTCTTCTTGGCTAACTTTTTCTTCATCATATAATGCAGGAAAGTCGGGGACAACACGTACGAACCAACGACATGGAGAATTTCATTCCCAGTCCAGAATGTTAACCAGACAGCAACATACACACTCCGGATAGCATTAGCTGCCACCACCTTAGCCAGAATTGACGTAAGTCTTATTTTTATTTCAGCTTTGACATACATTGTTTCATAAATTGCCTTTAACAACTGTCTCAAGAAACATTCCTAGTCTTATATGTATTGTTCAATATCATCAAATAGTCAAATGACATGCAATTCTTTTTCATGTACTCCTAGGTTTTGATCAACGACCCTAATGCACACCCTAGATTCTCAACCGATGGAGGAGGTGGAAGGGACAACGCGATTGCCCGACACGGAATCCACGGAGTGTACACACTTTCCAGCTTTGAGTTTCCAGGAACTGAACTTCAAAACGGAGAAAACACAATATATTTGAGGCAGACAAGAGGAGGGTATCGGTTTAATGGAGTCATGTATGACTACCTCCGTTTGGAAGGACCAAACTTCTAAGGTTTTATATATACATTACAGTTATATGAATTATGTGTAGATGGTAGATAGATAGAGAGAGATATATAAACATTTACCTTAGTACGCATTATCTTCATTCTGCAGCTATTTAGTCACCCATAAGGGGCATTTTTGTCTTAAACCTTCTGTTTCTTATTTTCTAATTGACCAGAAGATTAATCTGACTTCCTCTTGAGGAAGAATACCTCCAAAGATGAAGAGAAGACATTAACCAAACATGAGAGTACTAAAAGCAAAGGAATAATCAAGGGAGATTTTTGTCCTTCCAATCAAACAGGGTGTAATAGTATAGAAGCCAAACAAGTTTTTAACTATAAACATCACCATGCATGTAATTTCAGAATTGCCTTGGTACAAGAAACCACCCCACTGAAATAAGTCCAAACAGAACAAAAAACTGGGTGTAAAGTTACAACAAAAGACACAAGAACTCTCTTATAGGAAAAATGAAAGGTTAGCCCAAGGAAAACATCTACCAAGTAAAAAAAACTACAGAAAGTGAGGCATATGTTAGCAACTCACTCATATAAACCGCCTTCTGAAGTTCCTAGCTGTGGAGTGATAACTGCGGACAAGTAAACCAACCCCAATGCCAACTCCGACACAAATTCCAAGGCCAATTCCAACTCCTACTCTCACCCCTGCATTAAACCAAGACAGTTCCCCATCTTCTCCATCCAAATATTCTGGTGAGTGTCGCCAGTATGCATTGTTGTAGTCCTCTTCACTTTCTGGTTTATAGCGTCTGTCGTATTCACTTACCTGCCCAAACAAATGAAGAAGTATCGGAGGATTTACCAAGACTAGTTACATCTAGCATTTCTTGTGAATAAATGATTTCAGACCACAACACAACCGGTTTGCCCAAAAATGGGATTTAGTAAAAAGATGTCCAACGAGTTCAAATGGAAAAGTTCGTATACCGTAAAAGGTGAAATTTAGTTGGGCGGGAGTACTTTTCACAGGAAACAATTGTTTAAGGGCTTGTTTGGTTCAAGGAATTTGGAGGAGAGAAGTGATATTTTTTGTAGGTTCTAGATTTAGTGATTTGCCTATTCTTTGTGAAATTTTGTGATTTGCCTATTCTAATATGGAAATACATGATCTAACTATTTCTATGGTTAACTCTGGCTTAAAACTAACAAATGCAGATAAATTAATAAATAATTAAGAAATCATCTATCCCCTTCCCTTGGGTCCAAAATCCAAAAGCAAACAAGCCATAAATTAAAGTATGTAGTGAGTATGTGGTGAGCTATGTTCCTATGTGAGTATGTGTAACTATAATACCTCACATTAATAAATAAATTAAAGCAGTATAAACTTGTGTGTAGCTAGGACCTCTAAAAAACTGAATATGAGGTGAGCCTGGACCCGGGTTGGCCATATCTACGCAGTTGACTATAAAGGTTCTTTAAAGATGGAGAAGGACAACTGTGCAAAATCAGATGTTCTCTTGCTTCAAGAGTGAGTTATTTGGTTGACACAAATTTTTCTCTGAAGTTTCAATTATTATTTTGGAACAGAGGGAATAAGTATATAGCATAGAATGAGTTTTCCCAGTCCAGTGGTCTTCCTCTTTGTCATTCTCCACCTGGGATTCACCTCCGCCAGTAACACTTAAGATCAAACATTATGATAAAAAATGAAAAAATAGCGGATTTAAAGGGGGAAAGTTGTATCGAATATATCTTGAGTCACATAAAAGTCATTCCTAGCAAAAAATGTACTGCTTTTATCTAATGGATTCTGTGGGGGGGGGGAAATTGAAAATGGAAAATCATACAAGCATTTAGCATTTCAATGGAAGAAAATGTTATAACATATCAATGTAATATATCTATTGGTAATGACAGATGAACCACTTAGCAATAGAAATATAGCACATTACCACCACGCAAAGGCACAAACCCGAGGAAAACAATGCTAAAATCTGAAGTTAAGAAAATCAGAATGGAAAGATAAGGACGTGTTCAGTTTAACTTATTTCACTTGCAGAATAGATCACATCAAGTTATACCAGACTAGACTAGATCTAATCAGGTCAAAGAAGGAACCAGCCATTAACACACATACAAAAAAAAGTTCATATGAACAAGTTGTAAGAAAAAGAAGAATACAATCATGGTTGTCATGGTGTATTGCGATGAGTCATTGTGCTATGGATTATGGCGATGGTGTTTTAATTGATATCCGCTAAACGACCGAAACAAAATATAATATCTAAATGTAAAGTGTTCATGATTCAACAACCAACCAGGGACCTAAAATATTCAAATATTCAAACTGTGAACTACTGAACAAAAGACAAGTTCATATAGTCCAAAATATTTTAACCAAAATGAAAATTCAATGAATTCTAATATAAACTAGAGAGGGTTAAACTGAACTATAGGAATTACAACTTGATTATAAATCTGATCATCTACATCCAATCTCGATGAAGGAACAAAATAATGTTCTCACAAGATAAGCAGCCAAAAACTTCATATGTTTGTTTGTTAATTACGGAGTAATACTTGTACGAAGTGGGTGGCTTAACCGAATACACAATTGCAGTCATTGGTCAACTATGCTTTATTTCTTGTAAGAGTACAGCATGCGAAGAAATTTTGACTCAAAAACTAAACAAGAGAAAATTATCGAACCAGCTCACTTGAAGTAGAAACATGGACAATATAGAATATAATACCTGGACATGATTAAGTCCTGAAGAAGAGATATCATCTCTTTGTGCACCATACATTCCATTTTCTGGAATGGAGCCTAACATCCCATTCCTATGATGCTTCTTCCTGTTATTATTACAAAGCTGCAAACTTTTGGTTAAGATGATTGGCGTCCCAGAGAAACACCCAGCCACATAAACTTCAATTGTTGTTGGAGGTGGCGAATCACAACCATTGATCTGTTTTCCTTTAAAAAATCCACACCCTAAGTCCACCGCAGCTTCACAACTCATTCTCCATTTCCTCATGCTATTCTTCGATTCTCCACCATTTACCTCCAAAACCCCAAAAAGCAAAAGATCATTATCTCCATCAAAAACCTCGAATTTCACACTCCCGGTCAATCTCACACTGTCTGTGCTCACAAATGTAGCTTCTTCGGATTTCTTGTCCACACGGTCCCTTCTCAAAATGCAAGATCCTCCTTCCGGGTGCATTGAACTGTAATTTGAACACCACCTGGCACCGTTAACTTCAAGGAGTGTATCTGGGCTTAGAGGTATATGTTTGACGGCTAGACTCTCTGGGGTTCTTGAATCATCTACCATGAAATTGCTGAATCTGATATAGAAAACTCTAATATCGAGCCAAGAAAGAGATTGTTTGTTGCAGGTTTGGTACAATGGGTGCTTGATGATCTGGAGACCTGACGAATCACCCAATCCTCCATTAGCCGTCAGTGATTCATGAGAAGAAATCTCCATCTTCGGCAGTATTAATTAATTATATCCGGCCTTCATGTGCACCCTGTTCAAATCAGCATCTTTCTTCATCAATTATGCAAAATAAAGTTTATATACCAAAAAAAAGAACAAAAATTGCAGGAAATAATCCATTCCTAGGAAATTTTCATACAGGTCGCTGACCAAAACATAACCTCTCAATGTTTTCGTTTGGTAAATAGAGCACAAGTTCAAGTAGGAGAATCTCGTGAATACAAGAATACTATCTGATCCACATGGACGAAGATATAATTGCATTTCCTCCCTTATATCCACAGCAAAACGATGATTGGGTGAAACAGGCTAAATTGCAGAAGGGGATGGAGAACCAAATTGATGTAATTAGGGATAACTTAGGGGTGATAACAAAAGCAACCCACAGATAATTTTATAAACAGACACCCCAAACAAAATCAAAGATTAAGTCTTTTTATCTCTTCGGATAAAATCAAAGATTGAATCTTTTTATCTCTGGGGATTCAGATTTCAGAAGAGGGCAGACTAGTATGAACGTGAAATGTAACCTCAGTTTGGAAAGAACCAAGAAGAAAGCTCGGATGACATAAAGGAATTGTAAACAAACAAATGAGACAAGTGCAAGTCACCGATTTCGACACGTTTTCAAAACAAACTGAGAACAAAAAAACTATAACGAGAGATAAAATGAGAAAAGAAAACGTATGATGTCCTGGAGCTGAATGCATGAACTTACCCAGGGAAATATGAAATATTACGGAGTATAAAATAAAACATATGTATATCCGCAGAGCCAGTGAACAGTGGAATCTCCTTATGATCTATCACTACTGAAAGTTCAAATCGCTTTCGGGCTTCAAGGTGGGAAGCTTTTCATCTTCTCTGCCCAACTCTTGCGGCTGATGTCGACTGTGGTTTCTCTCTCCTTGTTTTCCCCTCAATGAAAAGTAACAAGGTCCACCTATCTTCATTATTGAAATATGGGAAAAGGGCCAAGTAGACCTGAAACTAGCTTAAAAATACAAATCACCCTTTATATAAGAAGTTTTGTCCGGTCGTCGCTAGTTAAACATCGCAATACATTTCATAAAATTATTTGTCTGTGTCTCGATTGAATTTTTATCTGAAATTTTGTATGGGTAACATAGACTTAATAAAGAAGATGCTAAAAAAGGTCATCAAAAAATTTCACCGGAAACCGCCCCAAATGATGATGGCCGGACATAGCCGCCTATATAAGAGGTGATTTGCACTTTTTAAGTTAGTTCGAACTCTCGTACTATTTCAGTCATCATGATTTTGATCGATATGAAAAACAAAGTCTAATCTTTGAGATGTTATAAATTTTACAACCAATATCACAAAATATTTAGCCAATTTTTTAAATTTGAATATAATTTTAATTAGTATTATGAAAGTGATGGATAGTCTACCCGGGGGTATATATCCGAAGGGTTATTACGGGGAATAACTTAGAGAGAAGTCAGAGCAAGTAAGTAAAAGTAGAGAGAGAGTGTATTCAGTGTGTTATCACTTGGTTACAAATGGGGAAAAGGGGTGCTATTTATAATAGCAATAAATGCCGGGCAGGGACACGTGTCAAGCGCTCATTGGCCGAGGGGTCACCTCAACTGGTTGGCGCTGGCAGCCGCATGTGGCCGCATTTAATGCGGCTGTTGGATGGGACGTCTGTGTGGGGTACGGTGATCTGTACGCATGTGAGGCGGATATCTTGTCGAGTGAGATGCCTTCGGCTATAGAGCAGTAGCCGAGGGCTCTTCCACCCGATGGCACCCTGGTGCCGAGGGCTCACAGTGCCGAGGGCTACTGTTTTCGTCGTTTTCTCCCAGTTTCTTAGTTTGCTTGAGAATCCCGTTCTGTGAGAATTTAGAGCCTTCGGCCAGGGGGCCGAAGGCACCCCTGGCGCGTAGTGCGGGCTGCTTGGTACTCTGGGCGCTGTGATTTGGGCCTGCTGAGCCTTCTGGGCCTGTTGGGCCTTCGCTGGAGTAGTAGGAGTCTGTGGGCCGGGGGTTCCCGGGCCATATACTCCATCAGGAGTCCCTCACTCCTTTTGCCGAAAGGTACTTGAGGGAAAAGGAGTAACTTGTGCTTGCCCTTTGATGTTGTCCCATCGTGATTCCTGAAGTTGGTGAGGAGTTGTTGCTTTTATGTCCCTGCCGAAGGCAGTCCCTCAGTTACCACATGTCGGGACTTGAGGGCTTGCTTTGTTGTTTGTTGGAATTTCACAGATTTTGTAATTTAATGATTTCCCCGAAGGGGTCCTCCAGTCCCCCACTCCTTGAGGCACTTGTAAAGTGGTGAAAAGGAGTAGAGTAGTTACGTTGCTGTTGTGGGCCGAAGGCTGACGCTTTTCGTTTCATTTTGGGGGGATGCCTCGTTAAAAACCTCATTAGGAAAAACCCTTTGGGAAAAAATCCTAATGAGGGAAAAAGAGTGCACCGAATTCCCCCAATGATGAATCGAAAATGTCAAACCTTGGTATAAAGTGGAGAATGACGGGAATGCCGAAGGCTCTCACTTCTGAGGGCTCCTGTGTTGATTAGCCGAAGGCTTGCTGTTGATGTCCTGGTGGCGCCGAAGGGGGGGCCCTCAATCCGGGGATCGAGGGCCTGCCAGATGAGGGCGGCAGTGAAGTTGTTACCGGGGGGGGTCCGCTGTTTGTTGATTTGTTGGTGATGAAGATACCCGAGGGCTCCCCATTACCTGTGTGCCAGGGGCCATCCGTCGATGAGGAACTCCCCGGGGGCTACCCGGTTTTGCAGTGCTGAGGGGGAATCCCCGAGGGGTGCTCTGATATGAAGCCCTGGGTTTCTGAAGGAGTGATCCCGAAGGCGTGTGTAATGTGCTGTGTGGGGCACAACCCGGGGGCACTTCTGGGTGAGTGCACCCGGAGGCTATCCTTGATGAAGTGGAGTGAAGTAGAAAACCCAGGGGCTTCCAGAATATAGCCGTTGGAAATATAGCCGTTGGAATATGTAACGACAGGATATAGCCGTTGGGGGGGTGGCACACGTGGCGTGTGATGGCTGGCTGTTCGTGGGCGGCGTCATCGGTTGGGTGAAACGGCGGTGTGTAATGATGGCGGTCCGTCCGGAGGCCCGGAATCCAGGCCCAAGCCCGGATTCATCGCCTATAAATACCCCAAGGCCAGAGCCATTTCCCCTGTGCGAACTCAGTTGTTTTAGCGAAGCTCTGCCAAAAAATCTAGTGAGAGAAACTCCAGCCTTCGGTCCTCACTCAGCTTTCGAGGTCAGTGCTCCCTGCCTTTCTCCTTCTAGCATAGCTGTACTGTGCCCTTAGGTTAGGAGATAGAAAAGTTAGGAAACACTACTGTCTACGAGCCCTCGAACTAGAGTGCGAATGTCGTCCCAGAGTGATTCTCAAGATATCTCGGGGGCGCCCTCGGTGGAGGATGAAGTCCTCTCGGACGTGGAGTCCTCAAGTGCGGAGTCCTCGGTGGGACAGGATGTCGTCATTGCCCTGGAGTTGCAGAAAGCCCTCGTAGCTGAGGCGGAGGCCGAGGGCTTTGAGCAAGAATGTGAGGACGAAGAGATGGCCATCGCCTGGCAAGCAGCTGAAGAGGAGGCACAAAGAGAAGGCGAGAGGGTCACCGTTGCTGTGCTCCCCCCTCGGGGTGCCGGGGAGGCCAGCACCTCTCGGCCGCTGAATGCGGTCCCCCTCCGGGTGGCCCCCGGAAAGAAGAAGGCCAAGGCCGCTGTTCCCAAGAAGAAGGGCAGCGTAGCGGATCAAGGGAAGCCCCTCGATATGCCCGAGGGGTACTCCTATCTCAACACCGCCGCATTGGAGATCAAGTCGAAGGTTGATGCGGCGGACATCTATGTCACCCAGCTTCACGTGGGCCCCTCGGCCATCGTGGTGACACCGGGTCCGGATGACGTTCTCTCCCGGGCTCCCGAGGGCTGCATTGCGGTGCACGTCCTTTCAGTATCCATGGGACTTAGGTTCCCTCTGCACCCATTCCCCCGGGAATATTTGAGGTTTGTTGGCTTGGTCCCCTGCCAGCTGACCCCGAACAACCATTCTTATATCACCGGCTTCCTTCAGCTTTGTAAGTCCCGGGGGGTGACGCCTAGCCTGGACCTCTTCTTCCAGAGCTTCAACCTATGCCGGGGGGGCACGCGAATGCCGAGGGATTCGCCAATTTGCAGCAGGTGTACGTGTTCAAACTCTTCACTGAGGCGCCCTCCTCGAACAAGGGGTGGAAGGACCGGTGGTGCTATGTGAAGCTAGCCGAGAGTCCCTTCCCGAGGGAGCTGCGTGACCGCTTCAGGAGGCATGAGAAGAGGAGGAGCGCCGCCCTCGAGAAAGATGGCAGGATTCTGGCCATGATCCCGGAGGGCAGGGACAAGAATATCTCCATCAAGGACTGCACCAAAGAAGCAGATCTCTACACCCTCGGGTTCCGGCGGTACCGGTTCCTGGGGGAAACTGATGAGAAGTTCCCAGTGTTTGAGGGAGCCTCCGGAGGTAGGAGCCGAGGGCTTTAGACTCGTTGTACTTAGTTTTTTTTTGCTTGGATGCCTTTGTCCCTTCGGTTAGACCCTTCGGCCTAATCCTTTCTCGTATTTTTGCAGGAATCCCCGTGTCCATGGTGAACGTAAAGGGCCTCGCTCGCCTGAAGAAACAGGACCCGAAGGGGTCGGGACAGGGCAACCAGAAGCCTGCGACTGCCCTCTTCAAAAAGGCCGAGGGCGATGCCGCTGCCAGTAAGAGGAAGGCGGCGACCAAGGGGTCCCCCCCGGCTACCAAAAAGCCGAAGAAGGGGGATATCGCCGAGAAGGAGCCCCCGGTCATCATTGCTGATGAGCACCCCGCCTCCGGGGTGCATGTGGAGAAGCTGCCGGGTGGAACGCCGGCGGGGGCAGAGGAGTTGCTGCCTGAGATCCTCCAAGTCGCATTCCCGAGGGGTACATCTCTGGCCAGCGGTGCTGTCGACCCGGGGGCCATCCTGAGGGGTATGACCCCTGAGACGGATAGGGCTGCCCTCGGGGCCTATAATGATGCGGCCCTCGAGGACCACATTCTCCGCTCCTCCCTCTCTGTAAGTGTTTTCCTGGCTTTCTCCATCTTCTCCTTTGATTATTTTGTGTGATTGCCTTTAACTGTTTTGTCGTTGTTCTGCAGGCTTGCTTAGCCCTCGGTGAACAGGCTCGGAGGCTCCAAGAATGGCGCCTCCACAAAGCGGAGCAAGACGCCAGAATGAGGGAGTGCCTCCTCAAGAACCAAGAGGCGGTGAAGCTGGGGGCCCAGCTAGAAGAGGAGCTCCGGCAGATGAGCTTGAAATTGGAGGCTGCAGAGAAAGGCAAGGCTGATGCTGAGGCCGCTGCTGAGGCCGCTGCTAAAGAGGCCGAGGACTCCAAAGCGCTAGCTGTCGCCAAGGCTCAGGAGGAGGCCGTTGAGGCCTTTGTCGCCGAGGGTTGGAGAGCCGAGGGGCGCAAGATGTGGGTATCCTCGGTCGTGGAGGCATGCGTTGAAGAATGGGCCGAGGGACCTGGGTGGGAATGGATGGCCCGGAAGGGCAGAGAATATTATGAGGCCGGTGAATTCTTCACCCAGGCCCTCATTTACCGGAGGATGGCTCGGCATTTGGGTATTGAGCAAAAGGACTTCTCCCCCTCGGCGTATGGCCTTCCTCCCCTGCAGCCTGATGTCCGTGAGTCGCTCCCAGAAGGTGTTCAGAGGCCCGACCTTGAGGACACGGAGTTGAAGAATGAGGCCGAGGACGACGCTGTCGAGGTCGGAGCGGAGGCATCATCGAGGCCGGCTGCAGAGGGCCCCCCGGTGAATGATGCTGTTGTAGTTGTAGAGTGACTTCATAATTTGTAATGTCTGAATATATTTTGTAACGAACAACATTGATCCTTCGGCCCGTTTGTAATAGTAACATCGCAATTACACTTGCTTTTTTTTTATGATTGAATGATCGCCTTCGGGCTTTGTATATATGACTTGTTCCCT